TGCAATTCCATAATATGTTATATGTTATATACTTATATACATTTTTATATTAAATTAGAAATATTTCATTACTTCATAATATAATTATATATTCCATTAGAAAACATTTATGTGAACATTTTACTATTTCTACTAATAATATGCTAATAATCTAATTATAGCTTCTAATATTCCTCATAAGCAAAATTCGCTATGCATGCAAAATCTCTGTGGTCCATTCAGCAATTGCTCAATAATCAAAAATCGCATTGTGTGTTTATGCCAGTATGGTTATACTGGGACGCCACCCAACTGCCGACCAGGATGCGTGATTAGCTCAGAATGTGCGCCAAATAAAGCTTGTGTTAATCACCGGTGCACAGATCCTTGTTCAGGTTTATGTGCACCCAATTCTCATTGCCGGGTAATTAATCATAAGGCTATATGTGTTTGTAAACCGGGTTTTAGTGGTGATCCTATGAAACGGTGTCTTAAAACAGAAAGTAAGCACAAAATCAAAGGATATTTCTAATAATTTATATTTTCTATTAACACAAAAAAATGCATGAATCGTCTAGAATGCTTGGACAATAATACTAATCCATGCGATAAGAACCCGTGTGGTCTTTATTCGGTCTGCCATTCTTATGACAACCAGCCCGTATGTTCTTGTCAAGCTGGGTACATGGGTTTGCCGCCAAATTGTCGACCGGAATGTACATTAAATGCAGATTGTAATCGCACAAAGGTGTGTATTAATAACCGCTGTACTAACCCATGTCCTGGTAGCTGCGCGCCTCAAGCATTCTGCAGTGTGGTCAATCATAGACCTTTGTGCATGTGTCCGAAAGGATTCACTGGAGATCCTTTTAAAATATGTTCATTGCTATGTAAGACTCAATCCATAAATTAATTATTTAGATTTTTAATTTTATTATGTTAGTACTGGTTCTAATAAATGTGTAATTATAACATTAATCGGAATCTTTTTATCATAAAGGTAAGTTCATGCATGTTTAATAGTTTATGTATTGTTTGCTTCGGTGATCAGATAATATATTAGATTATGCTTATATAAATGTATTTACGTATTGTATTGCATTAGAATGTAGATTATTTATAATCGTTTTTTAGCTATCGATTATACGCCTGTAACTCCTTGCAACCCTTCACCATGTGGAGCAAACGCTGTATGTAAAGAATCAAATGGTGCTGGTTCTTGTTCATGTATCTCAGAATATTTTGGCGATCCATACTCTGGATGTCGACCAGAATGTGTAAACAATCTTGATTGTGCCTGGAATAAAGCATGTATCAATTACAAATGTATAGATCCTTGTATTGGTGCTTGTGGTTTATATGCTGAATGTAAAGTCAGCAATCATGCTCCAACTTGTTATTGTTTGCAAGGGTACACCGGAAGTGCTTTATTATCGTGTCATAAAATTGAGTTTGATCCAAGTAAGAGTTGTACATATTGCAATTGCTTTTCTTTAAGTTCTCTTCTTATAATTATTTTATTACATAGCATGTGAAGTTGATTTGTTAATTACGAAAAACCCTTGCATGAAATCGCCTTGTGGGCAATACAGTCAGTGCCGAGCTGTAAATGGCCATGCAGTATGCTCTTGTTTACCTGGATACTTTGGAAATCCTCCAAATTGTCATCCAGAGTGCATAACTAGTTCGGATTGTCCACAAGATAAATCATGTGTAAATCAAATTTGTTCAGACCCGTGTCCAGGCACATGCGGTTACAATGCACAATGTCGGGTCGTAAATCATAGTCCAATATGTAGTTGCTATTCAGGTTATTACGGTGATCCATTTGTTCGCTGTGCTATTATTGAAAGTAAGAATGCCGTAGTTATGCTTTTAGTTGCTTTATACATTTTATTGATTTGATGCATGGGGAATGTTTAGAGCCTTTACCACCAGAACAGGATAGACTGCCACAAAATCCTTGTGTTCCATCACCGTGTGGTCCAAATTCTATATGCCATCCCAAAGATTATGTTCCAATATGTTCTTGTTTACCAAACTATATTGGTCGACCTCCTTGCTGCAGACCAGAATGCACAATAAATGCCGAATGCTTTGGCAATTTGGCTTGTGTTAATGAACGGTGTATAGATCCTTGTCCTGGTTCCTGTGGTATAAATGCCTTTTGCAAAGTGATTTCCCATAATCCTGTATGTAAATGCAATGATGGGTATACCGGTGATCCATTTATAGCCTGCCGACCAACACCAATTTCACGTAAGGATTATAATTACACTATTATTATGCAACTTGTTAGAGTATTTATCAAAATATTAAGTTACTTGAGGTATCATTGATTTAGCTTATATATGACAAATACATTTAACACACAAATTGCAACACAAATTTTCCCATTTTAGTACCACCACCAGCAGATGTGCCAAGTGATCCGTGTAACCCATCACCTTGTGGGGCAAATGCTATATGCAAAGAAAGAAATAATGCCGGATCTTGTGCATGTATTCCTGAATATACAGGGGATCCTTATACAGGATGTAGACCAGAGTGCGTGCTAAATAGTGAATGTCCTAGAGACAGAGCTTGCATAAACAATAAGTGTCGTGACCCGTGTCCAGGAATGTGTGGTTTATATGCTGAATGCAGAGTTATCAACCATTCTCCTTCATGTGCTTGTCTTCCAGGATATACTGGCAATCCATTGTCTGCTTGTCAACTTCTCCCAGTTGCCAGTAAGATTTCTTCCCTTACTATCTACTTATTAGCTTGTTTTCACTTTGCATGCATTGGTATTTTAAACTGAGTCTTCATTCTTATCTATCTCTATTGTACGATGCATGTTTTTCTTTGTGCTATGCCCACTTTTAGGCCCAGATCTACCACCTAAAAATCCTTGCATACCTTCACCTTGTG